TTAGGTCAAAATAACAAAAATTATATAGACCTATGTCTACAAGAGAGCCAAAACGATAATTTAAATAACACAACAAACATTTTTTGAAGCAAATTAGTCAATAAGGAAACACTTCTTTTAAAGTAAAAATTTACACTCTAATTAAATTAGCGTTTTTTTGGACATCATTTATAAAGTATTATTGCAAGTAAGAAGGTTAAATAAAATTAATGTAGTTGGTAACTTAAAATTTGAGGAATTAAAAAGTAAAAACTTGAAGAAAAAGTGACTATAATTTAAAGTCGAAATTTTGACAAAAAAATTGAATATTTAACACGCACGAATTTTTTTCAAATTTGTYTTTGTCAAAAAAAGATACATCTCTGTTTCAATAAATAATTGCGATGTCTGATTAATAATAAAAATAAAAGGAAACGTTTTTTGAGCAACAAAACCAACAAAACCCAGTTTGACCTAGAAACAGCTCTATAAATAGCAAAATAGGTTTCGACTTGTCATGTCCCTTTAATAAAAATGAATTTATCGATTAACTATTTAGATATTATTACCCACAAACATCAATAGTAAACGCTGGACTCGTYATTCTAGTCCAGTTTATTTCCAGAATGGTCCTCTCAATCGAAAGATTCGTCGGAAAAGTAGCTGTAGTAACCGGTGCTAGTGCTGGAATCGGAGCTGCTATAGCACGCCAACTAGTCGAAAATGGCCTAATTGTAACACTCCCAAGCTTAAATTTCCTTATTTTCAATTAATTCAAGGTCATTGGAATTGCCCGCCGAACTGAGCTTATCGAGCAACAAGCTCAAGAGCTTTGCCACCAGAAAGGCAAACTTTACGCTTTCAAGGCCGATTTGAGTAAAGAAGAGGAGATTTTGGACGCTTTCAAGTGGATTGAAGACAACGTGGGGCCAGTCCACATTTTGGTTAATAACGCGGGGGCGTCCAAAGACACCACTCTTTATGACGGGGACACAAACGCCTGGAAAACTGTTCTGGATTTGAACATCCTAACTCTGTGTATTGCCACAAGAGAGGCGATTAAAAGTATGAGAAACAACGACATTAATGGACATATTATCCACATAAATAGCATTTTTGGACACAGAGTTCCAACTTTAGTCGGTTTGAATATTTATTCAGCTTCGAAGTTTGCAGTGACGGCTTTGACTGAGACTTTGAGACAGGAATTGAATTCCATTGGGTCCAAAATCAAAATTACGGTAAGTTTAAAAAAAAACACAGTCGTTTTATAATTTTTTCAAAGAGTGTTAGTCCTGGATTGGTCCAAAGCGAGCTTACTACTCAAAATCCGGATCCGGATAAAAGGGCCTATTATGAGACAGCCCCCATTTTGCGACCTGAAGACATAGCAGATGGGGTTATTTACGCACTTTCGACACCTGAAGATGTCCAAGTGAGTCAAAAATAAATCAAATTAATTCTACAGAGTGTTTTAGGTGTTCGAGCTGACTATTAAGCCTGTGGGAGAACTAAACTAAAGTYTTGTTTTTCGTAGTTTCAATATAGKGTGTGACAAAAACCAAATAAAGAAATTTAGAAAACGACTTTTCTCTAATTTATGTTGAATTATAATGAAATAAATAAAATTTGAATTCGAAGCTTTGTRGCGGTACCAATAATCTATGTTTATGAAACGTYTTTTAGTTAATTTGTTAAATTTGTAAAGATATAAAAAATCGTAAAGTTRGAAATGAGCAGAAACTCAATTAATGYAGTTTTCTAGATGTAAAATWACACGCTCAAGCAGTTAAAATGCTCTACGACAAGCAATTTTTRAGGTATAGAATTATTATAAATAGTGCAAAAAATAGAAGTGATATAGTTTRAAAGTTATAATTTTTTTATTTYAAAAACATTGAAAAACTTAAAACGTCTCTCTCTAGTCGAAAGAATAATAAAAATTAATGAGAAAAWATTGCAACACTAAAAAAACTTTTTTGAAAGTTTACAGAAAAAACAAAAACAAAAAAGTGTATAAAGATAAAAATTAAGACAACTAAAACGTAAAAATAACACAGAAATGTGAAGAACAATTTTTGCAAACTACGCAATAAGTACTTTAAAAGTTATTTTATTCATTTTAAAAAATCGAAAAACTAAATACTTTTCTCTAGTCAAAAGAACGTAAAAATTAATGAAAAAGTTGAACGAAAACACTTAATTTACTGATCAATAAAAACGAAAAAGTGTAATAAGAGTATATGAAAATTAAAATTAAAAAGACAAAAACGCAGAAACACCAAAAATAATTTTTACTTTTTTTGACAAAATATAAAACATACAAAGAAGCAGAGACACTAGCCTTGTGGCTCTAAGGAGTTTTTGAGATATCGAGTTATTTTGAACGTTTTGGGCGCTGATTTTAAAATAAAATGTTTAAAATAGTGCGAAAAATAGGGCTGATATAGATCAAAAGTTATATTTTTTTTATTCTAAAAACATTGAAAAACTCAAAACGTCTTTCTCTAGTCGAAAAAACAATAAAAATTAATGAAAAAAATAACCACACTAAAAAAACTTTTTTTTGAAAAAAAAACAACGAAAAGTGTATAAAAATGAAAATTAAGACGACTAAAACGTAATAATAATACAGAAACGTCAAGAATAATTCTTGCAAATTTTTTACTAATATAATTATAATACAAAAAAGCAAAGTCACTAGTCGGGGTCTAATGGCTCTAAGCAGTTTTTGATATACGAGTAATTTTTTCTTTAAGTTTACTGAAAACAAAACGAAAAGATACATAAAAATTACAATTAAGAAGTCAAAAACGCAAAGATTTAAAAACGCCAAAAAATATTTTCACAAAAGTTTTGCTAAAATATAAACCATATAAAGAAGCAGAGGCATAAGCTTTGTGGCTGTAAGTAGTTTTTGAAATATTGAATTATTTTTAACGTTTTAGTTTGAAAGTTATAGGTACCTAATTTCTTTATTTTAAAAACAACATTGTAAACTAAAAACGTATCTCTCTAGTCAAAAAAACGCTAAAAATTAATGGAAAATCAAATGACATACTAAAAAAGTTTTTATTTA